CCCGGCGTGAGCGCAGCCCCGGCCCGTGCCCCCCCCCGTGTGAGCGCAGCCCCGGCCCGTGCCCCCCCCCCGTGTGAGCGCAGCTTTGGCCCATAACCCCCTTTGTGAGCACAGCCCCGGCTGGTCCACTGCTGCAGCTGCTTGCCCAGCAGGCCTCTTCAGGGTTGCAGCTGTTCCCCGCAGCCACTGTGGCCCAACGCTGCAGAGCCCGCCTGCTACCTCTGCACACTCGGGCAGCAGGTACAACAGGGAGGAGCAGGGGACCCACACATTGCGCACTTGGGAACAGGGGACTCCACTGGGCCCTGTCCACACTGCGGCTTGCTCAGGAAGCTGGGAAAAGTTGCCTTCCAGGTACAGCAGGTACTTGAGGGACGGGGTGTATTCACACTGGTTCTGGGACACAGTTCTGAACTTCGCTGTCCGAGACCTCTGCAAAGCTTGACGGCTCAGGAGACAGGGCGGGGTGGGGGAGGCCCCTGGAGTGAAGGCGCCAACTCCTGGGCCAGGGACCTGGCTGTTGGGCACCAGCGGCCAGCCTGAAGCAGATGAGGTTGTCACTTCTGCCCAGTTCAGACCCAAGCTGTTGGGCCATGGAAGGGACAGAGCCGTGTCTCACTCGGGGTGCTGCTGCGCACTACAGTGGGCTCACAGCAGGGCAGCCGTGCAGTGTTTGGGGTTTACTTTGCTTTATTTTACACAAACACAAATGAGGGCAGCACACTAATCTTCCACCTGCGGTGCCAGCTTCCTGTATGGGCACCGGTTCACATCCCGGCTGCTCCCTGCTGATGACCTGGGAAAGCAGCTTTGGAACCCTGCACTCGTGGAAGGCCGGGAGGAAGCTCCCAGCTAGGGTGCTGACAGCCACCTGCGTCCCCAGCCAGCTCAGGCAGAGCTGTGACACTGATGCCACTGGCCGAGTCACAGCTGCCAGGCTGGCCACACCTGCCCTCCGTGGGACATGGCACACCACGGACAAGGTGACTTCCGTGACCTTGCCTGGGGTGACAAGTGGCAGACGGTGCAGGGGAGGACCACAGGCCGCTGCAAGGGCAGGCATGGTGACAAGCCGTCCTCTTGGGGGACGCGCAGGTCCCCACCAACCCTCGCGAGGCCCCATAGCCAAGGAGCACCGAGACCCAGGCATCCGGGCCCCACAGCGAGGCACAGGCCACTTCCTCCGATGTTCCTTCAAGGGACATTGGCTAGCTACCAGCTTAAGGGGCCAAGCCGTGGTGGTGGGTCAGGTCTACTGAGGTGCCGACACCCCATCACAACACAGCGTTCAGGGCCACCCCACGTGCTCCTGCACCCAGCGTCACCCTGCTCCGGCACGGAGACCTGGGTGGGCTTCAGCCTGGACCACCAACAGAGGGTCTCAGAACCGGGCCCCGACAAGGAACTTCTGGGGAGCTCCACCTGCAGCCATGCGCCCGCACTGTCAGCCCTGCCACACCTCAGGCCCCAGAGACAATCCACCCTGCTCACTAGGCAGTCAGACCCAAGGGTGACCCCAGCCACCGGTGGCCAGTGAGCTGACCAACTCATCCTGTGGACGTGGGCCATGCCGAGCCCATCTGGCAGCAGGAAGCCTGCGCCACCTCAGGGGAAACCAGTTCCCCCACTGTCCCCAGCAGCTGCACACTCAGTGACAAACCCACACACGGCCAGCAGAAGCTTGGCCTTAACACAGAGAAGGCTCCAGAACCAGGCTTGTCCTTCCAGTCACTGAGAAGTCAGGACAGTGATTCACAGCTCCACCCAAGGCCAGAGCCAGGGACTCCTGACCATGCCGACTGGGCTGCATACACAACGCCCGCACGTCCAGCAGTGGCCAGTGGCAGCCTTGGACCCCCCTCGGAGGTGGCCTTGACCCAGAGGGGGACACACTGGCCTCACCCCCCGGAGAGGGACATGCCAGCCTCGTCTCTGCCGAGGTGGACATGTTGGCCTCATCGCCGCCCCCTCAGGAGGTGGGCAGTGCCGGCCTTGACTTTGGAGGGAGACACACTGGCCTCGTGCTCCCAGGAGGTTGGGCAGAGCTGGCCTTGACCGTGGAGGGGCACATGCCAGCCTCATCTCCCCGAGAGGTGAACATGCCGGCTCCTCCCTCCAAGAGATGGGCAGTGCCGGGCTCATTACCCCCACGAGGTGGACATGCCAGCCTCTTGCCCCCGAGGGATGGGCAGTGCCGACCTCGTCCCTCCAGAGGGTGGACATGCCAGTCCCCTCCACTGGGGGTGGACATGGCGGCCTCATTCCCATCACGCTGGGGGACATGCGGCCTCGTCCCCCCAGGTGGATATGCAGCCTTGTCCCACCAGGAGGTAAACAAGCGGCCTCGTCCACCCGGGGGGACATGCGGCCTCATCCCTCACAAGAGGTGGACATGTGGCCTCGCCCCCTCCAGGAGATGCACATGCCAGCCTCAGTCCCCCCAGGTGGACGTGCTGGTCCCCTCCCCCCAGGTGGACATGCGGCCTCGCCCCCAGGTGGACATGCGGCCTGGTCCCCCCCAGGTGGACATGCGGCCTGGTCCCCCCAGGTGGACATGCGGCCTCGCCCCCAGGTGGACATGCAGCCTCGCCCCCAGGTGGACATGCGGCCTGGTCCCCCCAGGTGGACATGCGGCCTCGCCCCCAGGTGGACATGCGGCCTGGTCCCCCCCAGGTGGACATGCGGCCTGGTCCCCCCAGGTGGACATACGGCCTGGTCCCCCCAGGTGGACATGCGGCCTGGTCCCCCCAGGTGGACATGCGGCCTGGTCCCCCCAGGTGGACATGCGGCCTCGCCCCCAGGTGGACATGCGGCCTGGTCCCCCCAGGTGGACATGCGGCCTGGTCCCCCCAGGTGGACATGCGGCCTGGTCCCCCCAGGTGGACATGCGGCCTCGCCCCCAGGTGGACATGCGGCCTGGTCCCCCCAGGTGGACATGCGGCCTGGTCCCCCCAGGTGGACATGCGGCCTCGCCCCCAGGTGGACATGCCGACCCCCTCCCCCGGCCCCAGGCCGCGCGGCCTCCCCGGGCAGGACCCGCGGACCCCGGCAAGCTGGACGCGACCCCCGCTCCGGGTGAAGTGCCCCCAGCGCCCCTGGAGCCGCGCGGCCCGGGCCCGGCCGGCGTACCTGAAGAAGAGCGTCCGGTACATCTGGTGCGCCTCGTAGTAGTCGCCCTTCTCGACGCTGGCGCGCAGCTTGCCCTCCACGCGCTGGACGCCGCCGCGGTTGCGCGCGCCGTTGCGGGCGCCGTCCTGCTCGGCCATCGCCGCCGCCATGGGCCGGCGCTCCGCGGGGCTGACGCTTCGCAGGCTCGGCCCTCCCGGCTTCCGTCCGCGCCACGCCCTCCGCGCCGCACGCAGCGCACGTGACCGGCCGGCCCACGTGACCGCGGGGCCCACGTGACGCCGGCGCCCCCGGCACTATGGCGCGGCCGTGACGGGAGAGGCCTGGGCGTGGGGAGCGCGGACGGGGAGGGAGGACCGAGCCGGGAGACCTGCTGACCAGGAGGAGCGGGGAGGGAGAGGGCCCGGCGGGAGGGACGGGGAGACCCCGGCCGGGGGGCAGCACCCACCGCGGCGACCCCCGCGCCTGCTGCCCGGACCCTCGGGATTCCACCTGCAGACTGGAAGCCCAGGGCGAGACATGATTTGGGGCCGTGGCTGCCCAGGAGTGGCCGATCTCGCCCCACGGCCCGCCCTTGGGCACGGGCGCCCAGCTCCGGCCAGGCCCTGCGGCCATCCGGGGAGTGCAGCCAGAGGGGACAGGCATCTCTCCCTCTGTTGCTTAACAAAGTAAAAGGCGAGCTGGGTGGGACATGGTGGAGCTGGCAGAGGTCCCCATACTGCTACTCCCAGGGTGCTGGACTAGTCCAGCTGACCAGGTCCACCCGGACAGGACCGCCATGGACAGGTCCGCCTCGGCATGTCTGCCTGACCAGGTCCACCCGGACAGGACCGCCTCGGCATGTCTGCCTGACCAGGTCCACCTGGACAGGACCGCCCTGGACAGGTCCGCCTCGGCATGTCTGCCTGACCAGGTCCACCCGGACAGGACCGCCCTGGACAGGACCACCTCGGCATGTCTGCCTGACCAGGTCCACCCGGACAGGTCCGCCTCGGCATGTCTGCCTGACCAGGTCCACCCGGACAGGACCGCCCTGGACAGGTCCGCCTGCAGGTAGATTAGCCCTGGGACTCCCCCCACCCCGTTCCTGGTACAGAAACAGAGAAATGGAGGAAAGAAAACGGTTTATTGTTCATCTGAAATATCACATGCACTGTTAAAAATTAAAACTCTTTATTAGAACATTTCGGTCATCTTGTCAATTTGGTGTCAGCAAAAGCAGCATTACCAAAGATGCATTTTGAAAAGCATTTACAAAAATACATTGCACAAACTGCTATCTTTAAAAATAAATATTCAAAATATTTCCACCCCAACTCCCAAATTTAGTTTAATATAGGAAATTCTGATGTCTATATGCAAGCTGTAATCTGTATGGAACGTGTACACGTTTTATCAGCTTCACTGCATAGGTGAGTTCTGTGGCCTTGTGCTGTGCGACACGACTCAGAACCTCCGCACCATCAGTTTGTGTGAAAACACATTTGCGGCACATCAAGAGTTCTCAGGCGACACACCTGTGGTCCCAAGGGCCTGGCACCACCTGGATTATAAAGTCAGCTCTGTGAAATTGTCTAAATATTAAATATCAAGAGTAACCAGAAAGGGACCCAGTAGCAGCAGGAAGAACAGATGACAGCTGCAGCAAAGGGCCAAGCCTACCGAGGGCCAGGCAGCGAGGGCCCTGAGGTCCAGCAGCTGTGAGCCTGCCCGCCAGGACCCACAGCCGCCTCGGGCAGGACACCCTGGGGTTTGCTGGGAACAGCCCAAGGTGGTGGGGTTGGGGTCCACTTGATGTCAGCAGAGTCCCGCGTGGGTCCCTCAGAAGGGGGGTCAGACCCAGGAGGAAGTATGCCCATCCCTCCCAGATGTGGGCCCTGTAGTGTGCTGGACGTCTCTGCCACGCCCTGCACATGGGTCCAGAAGGTGCTACGCAGGCGGGCTGCGGTCAGACCATGGCACCCACACAGGTGTCCGGTCACGTTTATTGGCCATGCCTCCATCCTGAAGGGTTCCAGTGTTTCTGGCTCTTAGTATATACAGAAATACACACAGCAGTGCCAGGCTTCACTCGGCGGGATCCCCGTGGACTCGGAACCGGTAGAGGCACGTGTACTCGGGGTGGCCCCAGTTGGACAGGATCCGCAGCTCCACCATCTGGAAAGCTTTGTCGGGCCTCGGCTGAGAGCAAGGCAGAACACGCTTACAGCTCGCAAGGGCAGCAGGCCCCCACCGGGTCCTTGCCCGCGCAGTGGCCCCCAGGGGAGCTCCACCGGCCTTACCAGGACACGGAACATCTGCAGTGAGTCACCATCCTGGTCGTAGGTGAACTGTCCCAGCAACTGCCCTTCCTCTTGGTACTCGCTTTCCAGACCCTGAAACCAAAACCACACAGTCACTAACCCACTGAGGGCTGACCTAGGGCGTCTGCTGTGCCCAGCCAGCAGGGTGCAGCCTCATTAACAACCCATGGCGACAGGCCGGCAGGCAGCAGAGGGCAGGCCATGTGCCCTCGGCTGTGCTCAGACAATGGGAACTATGAGCCGGGGTTGAGGGGGAGGTGCAGGCAGATGCAGTGTGCCCCCTAAATGCCACTGGTGGACATCATGGCCAGTTTAATCACAATAAAAGAACAAGAACCCAGGAACATACTGGCCATCCTAAGACCACAGGAGACACTGGGTAGCAGGCATGTGTAGCCCTGAGATGGAGAAGGGCAGACGGGACTATCCAACTAAGACATGGGTGAGGGTACAGCTGGCCTGGGGAGGTGTTGGTGGCCAAAGCTGCCCCAGAGCTCTTTCTGAAGGGAAAGAGACCAGAGGTGGTAGGGCACGGAGGGCAACTCCTCAGGACCTGAGTGCGCCTCCCCAATCCCGATGTGCCTTGTCCTCTGTGCCCTGGCTGCTTGAGCCCACAGGGGCCGCAACACCGTCAGGCATGTCCCGCCTGCGTGCACGACACACAGGGTGCCTCAGGATGGTGGTGGCTCTGTGCTAACCCTAACCCAGACTGGCACTGCTGGTGGGTGCCAGGGGAGGGCCGTCTTCTCTGGGGGCTGTACTCACATAGACTGCGAAGTCCTTGGGGGCGCTGGCGATGTTGCCGGTGGGCGCCAGAGCCTTGGGGATGTGCTCCAGTGTGAACGTGGTTGGCCAGATGGGCATGGACAGCCTCACCACCAGGTAGCCCTGGGAGCCCTTGAATGCCCAGCAGTTTCCCGGATAAATGTCAGGCTAGGGGGAGAAGAACCAACAGGTCCTTAGCCACTTACACAGGCTCTAAGAGAAAACGCTAACATGAAATACAAGCATTGTCCATAGTCCCAACTGTCCCAAGCCAAATCACAGGACAACGGCAAGTCGGATAAGGAGAGAAACATCTTCTGTCCACTGATTTCACTCCCCAAGTAGCCACAACAGCTGGAACTGAACCACTCCAAAGCCAGGAACCAGGAGCTTCTTCCACTCCCATGTGGGTGCAGGGACCAAAGGCTTTGAGCCATCCTCTACTGCTTTCCCAGATCACAAGCAGGGAGCTGGATGGGAAGTGGAATGGCCAGGAAACAAACTGATGCCCGTATGGGATGCCAGTGAATGCAAGGTGAGGACTTTGCCACGAGGTTACCATGCAAAGCCCCGGGGAAAGTCATTTTCAGCTTGCGTCCTGAGCGCTCCTCACTAACACCCAAGCCAGTTTTGTGAGTTACCAGGACCTTAAAGACAAGCGGGAAGGACACACATTCGAAGGAGAACTTGGTCGAGCACTCTGGCAGACACCCCAGATCTCTCGTGGGTGCCAGCTCATGTCCCAACCCAGCCCCCCGCTGACGTGTCGGACAAAGCTCCACAGGATGGCCCAGGTACTCGGGGCCCTGCTGCCCACACGGGAGACCCAGCTGAAGCTCCTGGCTCCTGCCTTTGGCCCAGTGCAACTGTGGCTGTTGTGGTCATTTGGGGAGTGAACTAGCTGATGAAAGATTTGTTTCTCGGCCTCGGCATGATGGCTCAGTGGCTAAATCCTTGCCTTGCAAGTGTCGGCATCCCATATGGGTGCAGTTAGTGTCCTGGCTGCTCTGCTTCCCCTCCTGCTCCCTGCTATGGCTGGGAAAGCAGCAGAGGACAAGCTCAGGCCTCGGGACCCTGCACCCACATAGGAGACCTGGAAGAGCTCTGGCTTCAGATCGGCTCAGCTCCAACTGTTGTGGCCACTTGAGGAGTGAGCCAGCAGATGGAAGATCTTTCTGTCTGTCTCTCCATAAAATCTGCCTTTCCAATAAAAACAAATACATCTTTTTTTTTTTAAGATTTATTTTTTTTATTATTTTTTCATTGGAAAAGGCGGATATACAGAGAGAAGAGACAGAGAGGAAGATCTTCCGTCCGATGATTCACTCCCCAAGTGAGCGCAACGGGCCGATACTATGCCGATCCGAAGCCAGGAGACTCTTGGCGGGTCTCCCACGCAGGTGCAGGTTCCCAAAGCTTTGGGCCGTCCTCGACTGCTTTCCCAGGCCACAGGCAGGGAGCCGGAAGGGAAGCGGGGCTGCCGGGATTAGAACCGGCGCCCATATGGGATCCCGGGGGTGCAAGGCAAGGACCTTTAACCACTTGCGCCACCGCGCCGGGCCCCAAATACATCTTTTTTAAAAAAAGTTTTCCCATCTTTCTAACTCTGCCTTTCAAATGAAATAAACCTCAAAAATACATAAATAAATAAATAAATAAATAACATGGGAATGCCACTGGTCCTCAAGGGAAACAGCCAGTGTGTGGTACAGCTGCCTGCAAAGCTGGCATCCCCAGACTACCACCGAGGAACCCACAGTCCAAAATTCTAACCATCTGCCCCGCTCGGTGCTAACTGCTGTGTTCCTGCTTCTCTTGCTCTGCTAAGAAATTGTGTGACTCCAGGCCTGACAATTTAGGGGACATTTGCCCAGGCACCCTGATGGGACCATCCTGCCTATTTGACATTTGTCCCATCAACCACACAAAGCCTCCACCCACCTTTTGAACTAATCATTAGTGTAAGATCCCATACCCTCTGATTGGCTGATTTTTGTATAAAAACCCTAAAGTTTGGAGGCTCGGGGTCTTTCCACTTCTTCGGAGACCTGGGCATGCTCGAATAAACATTGCTGTCCGCATCTGACTCCTGGGGATTCTTTGGGGAAGCTCAGAGGCAGCAGTGGCACCGGCAGTGGTGACCATGACCGCGTGGACGGCACCGACCAAGGGGGCAGCAGCGGTGGAGGCGGTGGTGACCGAAGCGGCAGCAGTGACCACAGCGGTGACCGTGACCACGTGGACAGCACCGACCAAGGGGGCAGCAGCAGTGGAGGCGGCGGTGACCGAAGCGGCAGCAGCAGCAGTGACCATGACCACAGTGGTGGAGGCTTGCTACTGCTCTAAGCTGTGACGACCACAGGTCGTCTGGCTGTAGAGCTGCAACGCCGACCCCGAGACCTCGAGACGCCTGCAGAGCTGTACGTGGACCGGACCGGCTGCCAACTAGTGGCCACTGAGCTGTGACAATGTCCGAGGTTGCAACCAATTGTGACCTGAAGAGCTGAGACCCCGACCCCTCCTTCGCCCGCTTGCCCGCCTGCGGTTTCCACTGTCCAGGGGACTGCGGACCTGTCCGCTGCCTTGGAGCCGGTTCCGGCACAACACCGCCCCACTCTGAGCCAGCTCCCTCTTACAGGCCCAGCACATAAGGGAAATGTAGGCCCTGGTGCCCGTGTGGGAGAGCCCAGTGGAGTGCCAGATTACTGACTGGTCCAGCCCAGCCACAGCTGTTACGGCTACATGCAGAGGGAACCAGCGGATGGGAGATTCTCCCTCTAACTCTGCCTTTCAAATTAAATCAAATCGAGAAAATATGAAAAACACAAAGCAGGTGTGAGACCATGAGACCTGTGGCAACTGACGGGTGGGCAGTGCCAGTGGACAGATCGTGGGATCTGATGGAAAGCCTGACAGTGCAGGACATTGTGACCCAGAAGGGCACTGAGCCCAGGCCAACAACGGATACGATATCCATCGTAGGAGAACAGCTGAGTGAACACCTTTATATAACTGACTGGACAGCCTCTGCGTGAGAACACCTGAATGGGTGCCATTCGTATAACTGAATGAGAACAGCTGAGTGGACAGCACGTAAATGAGAACACTTGGGGGGATATACAAGAGTTCCAAACCAGAGTATAGAAACATTGATGGGTTCCGTACATAAACTCAGTACCTGCTCCTTCATCCGGTGTGACCTTCGGTCTATAAAAGTCTGATGCCACTAACAAACTGCGGCTATTGACCACCAGCTGGTAGTCCACGCGTGTTATTAGCACGTTAATCTCAGGCTCTGCTGCAGGACGGCGGACAGGGCAGCACGCGAGGCTCCCACACTGTTCTCAGGAGCAGTCCACTGCACTGTGAACACTTCCAGACCCGGCACAGCCTGACTTGTTGCGGGCACTGAGCCACAGCCATGCCCCTGGCCTTGAATGTGGTAGGGAGGCACCTTCAGGTGCTGGCCCAGGTTGGTGCTGGGGAGGTGGCCCCCTCCCACCACCCCACACTCCTCAGCAGCTCTGTGCATCCCTGGGGAGCCGAGGGCCTGAGCCCCCCGCCTCAGGTGCAAGTCCTGTGTGACGCGCTGTGCCTGAGCAGCATGCTCTGGCTGCCAACACACTCGTGGCACATCTGCTCAGGGCATTGCACACAATGCCATGGCCTCTGGGGCCGTGTCAGGGCACTGGAGGCCAGCCTGCTGGACACAGGCGCCTCGGTGAGTCTGCATGGCGCAGGCGGCCGTGGGAAAGCCAGCCAGAGGTGCGGCTCACAGCACAGCAGGGACAACAGGGGCACGACGCATGAGGGACACGTTCTATCACCCCAGGGACTGCCTGCAACCAGAGGACAGTGAAAGCTCTGTGCAAGCTGTGTCACACGCGTGTGAATTCACACATCAACATTTTCCCAATTTGATCTCTGCAGGAAACCCTAAAACACCCATGGTACCAACTTCATCAGATGCAAAGAACACAGACTAAGGAGGGAGGGTCCTGGGCCCTCCTCCGCAAAGCCTGAGCATATTACAGGGTTCTTGAGAAGCAGCTCTGGCCCAACAAAGCACTCACCAGGAACCCGGCTGCCCCATCACCAGTGACCGCCCAGCACCAACACATTCCAGGCACAACGGTGGTGGTGCATGTCCAGAAAGCCTGCTCTGGAATGTTCCACCTGACTGCAGGCACCAGAACTCTGGAGATCTTCTGTTCCTGGCTCACTCTCAGCTCCTCACTCTGCTGCTGCAAACATGTCCAGCTGCAGGGGTCTGGATTCCCCACGGCCCACTCAGGCTCTCAGGCCTCCCTCGGGAGAGCCTGACCACGACACCCTGGACCAAGCTGGTCATTATGGGCATTTGAAGTGAACCAGTGACACAAAATAATTCTCTGCCTTTCAAATAAAGTAATTAAAAAATAAACCTACGGGTCTGGGAGTGCCGAAATCCCACGTGGCACTGGTCTGAGAGCTGGCCGTACCAGTTCTGATCCAGTTCCTTGCTGATGGGCTGGGAAAGCAGCGGATGATGGCGCAAGCGCCTGGGGCCCTGTCACCCACATGAAGCTGCTGGCTTTGTGTGGCCATCTGGGAGGTGAACCGGCAGATGGAAGATCTCGAGCCCTCTCTCTCCCCCTCCATTTGTAACTCTTTCAAATCAGCCTTTAAGAACGGCCAACACTGATCCCAGCACAGCCTTGGAGGACGGAGAGCGGAGTGCGTGCGGCTGAGGGCAGCTGGGGACAGAGGGTGGCCATCTGGTCGCAGGGTGCAAGGCTCCCTGTGCGGAACACCCCAGGGGGCCAGGGGCCCAATGGTGCTGGGCACACGGCTGTGTCCAGCGTCCCTTTATGCGGTGCAAGCACACCTTACCTGGATGACTACGCGGGGCGACTGCGAGAAGTACCACAGTGGGATCCCGAAGAGGCTGATGAGCGCTGTCTTGGTCTCGTAGGTCTCGGAGCAGCGGGTGCTCAGGACGCTGCCGCCTGGGGGCAGACACATGTCTGGGTCAGAGCCACACGACGACCCACCTTGAGGATTTACACAGAGTGGCTTCAAATGGACTCCAGCCCACCCACCCACCCCGCACAAAACTCCCCTCTCAGGCACTGGTTCCACAGCATACAGCGTGCAGACAACCCCACCCGAGCAAGACCAGCAGCTCGCAGAGCCGGCCTCTCCTCCCCGACCACAGGCTGGTGGCTCTCAACAGACTCCTGTCTCTTCAGCCAGCCAAGTCCAGCGGTCATCCGACAGACCAACTTCAGACCACCCCAACCAGCCCCAGGATACTGGCTGCTGCAAGGGCACAGCAAGCCACTCTCCTGCACACTTCCCAGCACGGAGGCCCATGTCATGAGACCTTCATCTTAGCCAGACAAAAAGCATCGAACAGGGCACAGCCAGGGTCAGGGCAGGCTCCCCACGCACGAGGCCACAGCAACGAGAGCCCCTGTGCACATGCACACAGAGCAGTCTCCCAGGCAGCCACACCTGGCGTCCGGCCCTGAGAGGAGCTCACCCTTATTCTCACAGTGACAAGCTGACTCCCCTGACCCGGCCCAGGCTGTGCAGCACAGGTGCCCTCGGATGCCTCTGAGGCACACAGCTGCTGTGTAATACGCTGTGGTTCACAGTGCATCAGCAGCATGCTTACCGCTCTCAGAACAGTCCCTGCCTTCCCCTCCAGCTCTGTCAGGATGGGCCTGGACCAGTGGTACCTCATGTGTCTTCAATCACCAAGATAAGCTGAATCCACACCACTGCTGGCCACAGGTCCCACCTGACACACTCATGTGCACGCACAGCTACACACCATGGCATGGACCTCCTCAGACCCGACAGACGACAACTCTTAAGTTCACTTCTTCAAGGAACCAAAGTAGCATGCATTCCCCTCCATGGGGCCTGCCCTGCAGCCTGCCCACCACAGGCACTCAGTGACTGGCTGGGAGCCACTGCACTGCAGGCCAGGCCCTGGACGTGAGCTGTGAGCACCGCTAGCCTCCCCAGGAAAAGGCCCCTGAGGGACACACTCACCCCCGGATTCCAGAGCGAAGTCCACCAGTCCAGTCTTGTCCTGGGAATACAACTTCAGAGCGTTGTTCACGATGGCCTGAGCTCGCTGTACAGACAGAAGGAAGGAGGACCAGGAGCCCGGTATGTCAGCACAGTGTGGCGCTATGACACTGCAGCCCCCATGCCAGACAGCCACAGGCACCAGCTGGGCACGTACACCCCACCCAGAGTGAATGCCACAGCCAGCAGCAGAAGGGACACGTTGGAGGTCAAGGTGTCTGCAGACAGGCCCAGCACAACCACACGCTCTGCCATCCCAAAGGTATCGGTCATGACCATGACATCAGCTCAAAGACACAAACAGTCCATCCTCCCTTGGGTCATCTGTTGGAAGGCCCTTCTGCACACCCGACCCTCTCCACAGGCCTTCCCGCAGACATGACCCTCTCCACAGGCCCTCCCGCAGACATGACCATCTCCACAGGCCCTCCCGCAGACATGACCTTCCACAGGCCCTCCTGCACACCCGACCATCTCCACAGGCCCTCCCGCAGACATGACCATCTCCACAGGCCCTCCCGCAGACATGACCCTCTCCACAGGCCCTCCCGCACACCCGACCCTCTCCACAGGCCCTCCTGCACACCCGACCCTCCCCTGGGTCATCTCAGCAGGTTCCAGCTCAGCTCTTGGCCTGCTCCCAGGGCCAGGCACTGCCCCCGCTGTGGCCCCTGCATGCACCTCCCTCACTCACCGCCTCTGTGATGCCAGTGAGCCCCGCCTCAGCCACGGCGGCCAGCACGGCCTCGGAGGTCGGTGCCTGCTTGGTCACGGCCATGTGCTGAGTGACGTTGGTGAGTATGCGCAGCTCCAGCACCTGCAGTGCCGCCTGCAAGTCCTCCTTGCTCACAAACCGCGCAGCCAAGCTCTGCAGCAGCTGCTCTAGCGCCTCGTCCTGCTGCTCTTCAGCAAACAGCAGCCTGACACTTTCTCTGACCTGGGCCTGTACCTGCGCCGTCAGGGAAAGACACGTCAGCTCACCCCTGCCCAGCACACTCTCCCCTGGCAAGCACACACTTTGTCCTCTTCAGCCAAGAGCCCAGCGCTGGGCATGCAGACGAGGGCAGGAAGGGGAGCCCACGACATGGGCAGCACAGTCTGTCTCCCTGGCCAGCCCTGCACCCCACTCGTTAGGTAGAGAGAAGAGCCCTTTATCCTAGAGACTTGGCTGGTAGCAAGCAGCTGCTTCAGGGGGCTGCATGACACTTGGCCAAGCCACTGCCTGCAACACTTACAGCCCACCCTCAAGTGCCAGTTCTGTGCCAGCTCCTGCTAATATACCCAGGGAGGTGGGTCCCTGCCACCCTGTGGGAAACCCGGACGGAGTTCCTGGCTCCCAGTTTTGGCCTAGCCCAGACACGGCAATATGGCCACTTGAGGGATGGAACAGCAAGTCAGAAACCTTTCTCTGCAACTGTGTCTTATTTATTTTAGAGGAAGAGCCACAGCTAGCGCCAAAGCCAGGGTGGAAGGTCAAGGACTAGAGACAGACAGGGAGAGGGAGGCAGAGAGAATGCCTACCTGTTGGTTCATTCTCTCAACTGCCATGCCAGCCAGGGCTGGTCCAGGCTCCCGATTTCAGCCTGGGTCCCCCACATGGGTGCAGGGACTCCCACACTCGGCACCTGCACTAACTGGGATCTGCACAGGAAGTGGAGCAGCGGAGACTTCAACTGGGATGGTCTCTAGCACGGCCTGACCTGACCTACCACAGGGCCGGCCTCGCAGATCTTCGGTCACACGTGTGCCACGTGCTTTTCCACGCAGTCTGCATATCTGAGCCAGCTCTCGCCATCCTGAGGAACTCCCTCCGTAGTCAGCACCCCACGACAATGCCCAAACCACAATCCCACACTTGGCTCTTGCGCAGGCTGTCTGTAACTGCTCATGACCCACGGCTTTCCCCAGGGTCACAGCCCAGCCGGCAGTGCAGTTGGGGCTGGGAATGGCTCTGGGCTGACGCTGTACAGGCCACGGAGCCACCAGGAGCCTGAGCCCTACTTTCCTGTCACCTCCAGCCTGTGGCCACTCCAATAGCAGTCTTTCTTTACCAGTGGGCAGTTCTGTATCTTCCCCCACCCCGTCAAGGATGGAAGCAGCTGAGGCAGGGCCTGTGGTGGGCAAGCTGCTGGGTCTAGCCGCGTCTGTTCTGGTGGCAATGATGGGCCCTGCCGAGGTACCACAGCCTCTGCACATGCAGCCCTGTGGAATGTCTGCTGTGACTTCACGGCACAAACAGGTAGGGCCTGGGTTCACCTACCTTTTCCTGCAGGGCGTCTCCCTCCAGACAGCCGCTCTGTGAATCTGGCCAGTCTGACATACGTGCTCTCAAGCTGCTCAGCTCCAGCTCCAGGTGCTTCACGCTAGCCAGCAGGTGCTGCTGCTCCTCACTCCCGCTGCATGCACATGGGAGTGAGGGACAAGGCAAAAGCCTGGCTGAGTCCACAGGGACACCCATGGTGGCTCACTACGGCCGTACAACGCGGTGAGATGCTGAGCTGCACCCATTTCCCTCACGGTCAGGCTCCAAGATGAGACAATCTTCAGCTACCATCATCAGAGACGAGCCCACTCATGAGGCTCCGTTGTCTGAACGAACGTGTAGCACAGGCACCGACTGCACACGGCCTGTCTCACACTCCTGGGGAAGCCTTTAGGGCTGCCTGGGCGCTGTGTTCAACACAGCTGGGGCGGGGACCTGCCTTCTCGTCCTTCCAGGACTATCGGCACCTTTGTCACGCCACATGCAGGCCCTACACAACCATCACCCTAAGAAGGAGCCTGCGCACGCCAGACTCAAGTCCCGCCTGTGGCTCTGGCAGGGCTGCTCTGCAGGCTGCCAGCCGAGCCAAAGGCTCTGCATGCACAGCAGCGTGCAGACTCACAGGCTGTTCACAGGGATGCAGTGGGCACGTGGGGCCTGCAGAGGTGGGAAAGCACAGGGTTGCAGAGGCCGGCACAGCAAGGGAAGGGTCAGGGTTAGGGTTTGAGATGGAGTTGCAGAGGCACCAGGGCAAAGGCAGCACTGCCCTCTAGGGACCCGGGCAACAGACAGCTCAGGAGACAACCGGAGGGGCCCCAGCCCAGGGTCTACTTCTGGCCAGCAGCACGAGCAAGGCGGCAGAGTGCCCTGTGAGGGCAGCTCAGTCAGTGCTTTGAGAGCCGCTGAGCAGGGAGGCCCCGGCCCAGAGCGGGCTGCGGTCAGCTCGGGGACTGGGCAGCATTGGCCACAGGCACCTCATGGTAAGGAGGCGTGATCAGTAGCTTGGGAGCCCCCGCCTGCCAGGGTCCTCCCGGAGTGGTCCCCCACAAGGCCAGATCCCCAAGTGAGCACCCAGGTGAGAGCAGGGGTGTGTGTCGACACTGCTTGCCACCCGAAGCCGCCCTACCTTGCTGCCGCGAGCTTTGCCTCCTGCAGCTCCTTCTGGAAGGCCTGAGGGAATGTGGAGACAAGAGAGTTGACCTGACCACACATGATGACAGCCCCGACTGGCCTCCACCTTTCTGTGCCCAGCCTTCTCCTGTGCCTCCACGCACGTCGGCCTATGGCCTGGAGCAGGGCACTGGTTTTATCTTTCAGAAGGCCAGCCCAGGACAGACACATCGCACTGACAGGCTGCACTGGACGTGAGAGGGCCAGCCTGAGGAGGCAGAGACATCTGCACTGACAGGCACCACCCCAAGCGCATGCAGAAGGAACTAGGTGGGTACCAGCCCCTCCCCACAGTCAGGAAGACAGAGCTGCCCGTGCCCCCTTTCCCTTCCTGCTCAGCAGTCAAGCCACCATGGAGCCAGCTCCATCCCTGGTTTTCCCACATCCCCTTCTCTGCAGCTCAGGTGCTTGCCCTAACACCTGCTCAGGGGAATGTGCACGTAACAGCTCCAGGCCATCTGCTCTCCCTCTGAAGGGATCCGCGACCCCATGCAGCTGGGTGGCCTTGGCATGCCTACTGTGACCGGACTGGACCAGGAGACCCCCAGGACAAATGGGGGCAGTCAGGTATTCGTGTTAACAGCAACAAGGTCCAACTGTCTGAGAAAAAGGCCTGGTCTGACAGGACCCGTCCTTACCTTGGCTCGCTCTGCCAGTTCCCCAAGGATCCCTTCCAAGGCAGAGAGGCGCACTTCATGTTCACGATGCAAAGTCATAAAGTCGGCCTTGGGAAGCAAGCACAGGGAGATGGTCAAAGCACAGCAGAGCCTGACCTGCCGCACGAACTGATGTCGGGCACAGGGAGGGCCATGATGTCACATCTGAGGGCCTTGGGCTTGAGGCCAGCAGCCTGTGGGAGGCAGGGGTGGCGTCTGCGTGCCTGTGAGGCCTGTGCTAAGCTGCTGCAGGCACCCGGGGACTCTGCTCATCTCTATGGCAGGGACCCAGCAGCCCTGGAGGAGGCATTGTGAACCCCAACCCTATGCTCAGGCAGCTTCCGGCTGCACAGTCCCCCTGACCACCCTGTGCTCGGGCAGCTTCCGGCTGCACAGTCCCCCTGACCACCCTGTGCTCGGGCAGCTTCCGGCTGCACAGTCCCCCTGATCACCCTGTGCTCAGAGCAGCTTCCGGCTGCACAGTCCCCCTGACCACCCTGTGCTCGGGCAGCTTCCGGCTGCACAGTCTCCCTGACCACCCTGTGCTCAGAGCAGCTTCCGGCTGCACAGTCCCCCTGACCACCCTGTGCTCGGGCAGCTTCCAGCTGCACAGTCCCCCTGATCACCCTGTGCTCAGAGCAGCTCCATCCAGGAGTGCTGCGGGCAAGGCAGCTCGATTGCCCCCACCACGGATGGAGCCACGGAGGCCTCCCTGCCTCAGCCCGAGCCCATGACAAGCGCGCAGTTAGGGCAGTTCCCAAGGCCATAGCCCCTCCCATGATCCAGAGAGCTTATGTGGGGACAGCCTCCACATGGGTGGCTGACAGGGGTTTGTCTCCACCCACTTCTTCAGTTTCCAGGGAGAATCACGTCCAACTACTGGACATGCTTCCTGGCGAGCCCAGAGGGACCACTGCTGATTACACAGCTGCACATACACACACACACACAACTGCAGCACCCGGGGCAGTGCTGGACCTGCTGGAGGACCCCACACCAAACAACTCAGACCCCACAAGAAGGGAGACAGGCAGCCACATGTTGGGTGCTACCTAGTACTTGGGGTTGGGATGGCTGGACTGAGTCGCTGGCCCCTGGGCACTTAGGGAAATCGACCAGTGGATGGGAGTGTGTGAGCCTGTGCTCTCTGCCTCAACAATGAATAATTACACATGTAAATAACAAGACAACTGAGAACAGGCAGGCCAGAGCAGCACTACACTGAGCCATGAACTCTGCCAGGGCAGCAGAGGCGCCATGGCTGCTCACAGCACCGTCCCACATGGCGGCCACCAGGTATGTGTGGCCATCAAGCCTGGCACTATGGCTGGTGCACCCGAAAAACCCACTGCACAGCCATCTTTCCCGGCCAGTGCCCAGGGTCTGCTCAGCCTGCATCCAGATCAGCATGCCTGCTGCCATGAGCCACACCAGTCCTAGAGCCCCACTGCACAAGTGCAGACTGCAGAGCATCCAGCCACAGAACACAACACGGCAGCTCTCGCCTGTCTGTGAGACACGGTCATCCATACCATCATGGAGCCCTGAGACTGACGGCATCTCGGCTCTCAGGGACCTGAAATCAGGACTCGAGGAGCCAGGCCCTGCCCTCCAGGCACACGGCATCTTCACCACCAGGTGACAGGCCTGCAGTGGCAGCAGTGTGTGCGTGAGGAAGCATGACAGAGACAGACGGAGGGAGAGACGAGATCCTTGAGCTGGCCTAGGCTGAAGCCAGGGGACAGAATTCCACTCGGGTCTCCCAGACGGGCAGCAGGGGCCGAAGTACTCGGAACACCTCCAGCTGTCTGTCCAGGCACATCAGCAGAGTTGGATAAAAGTGGAGCAACAAGGATGCTGGCACCATAGCTGGCACCCTCTCTCTGGAAACACTCTGCCAGACCGGCTGACAAGAGCTGCAGGACACAGCAATGAGAGGCTCAGAGAACCTCGGACCGCACCTTAGTGCCCGGCAGCCTGGCAGCGTCCACCTCCTGCAGCTGCTGCCCGATGAGATCCTTGACCCACGAGGACAGCCCTGCTCGGCCCTCGTCCACCTGGTCCAGCCGTGCATGCAGTTTGTGCAGCTCAAGGGTGAGTTCCTGGAGCTGCTTGTCATGCGTGTGGCACCGGCCAGTCAGAGCCGTCACCTGCTGGTCCATGCTGCTCCTCCAGCGCCACGGAAACGCTGTGTCCCCTGCCTGCAACAGGAAGACACAGGCAGAGTCCACCAGAGGGGCTTGGTGAGGCACTGCGCTATCGGGGTGCCTGGCTTCCTGCCGACGCGCACCCAACCTGACCCCAATCTGGGAGACCAAGGCTTGAGTCCAGCCTAGGCGGAACTGTTGCTCATTTGGGAAATTAACCAGCCAATGGAAACTGCTCTATGTCTGAAACCAAAGCCTGGGGCGGTGCCAGCATTCCCTAAGGGTGCTGGTTCGAATTCCAACTGCTTCACTTCCAATCCAGCTCCCTACTTATGGCCTAGGACCCTGTACCCACATGGGAGACCCAGAAGAAGCTCCCGGCTCTAGGGTCCTGGCTTCAGACCAGCCCACTCCTGGCTGACGTGGTCATTTGGGGAATGAATCAGCAGATGGAAGATCTCTGTCTCTCCTCTCTCTGTAAATCTGCCTTCCAAATAAAACCAAATCTTAAGGGACAAAAATCTATTGAAGATAAACCACCACATGGTATAGCAGCAAGATGCCAACTGCCGGGTCCACAGCTTAACTCTCAGCAGTACCCTGACCCGATGTGGCTGGGGTGGCTTTAATTTTCCTCTGTAGACACATCAACATATTTTTTTGGATACAAACTGCCCTTGGCTACTGCTAAGGCAGCTTGCACCTTGCGGAATGACAGCTTCTAATCTGTTCTGGGTTAGCAAGCAGAGACATTGAGAGCCCTGGAACCCGCTCCCTTGGGTCTTGAGTGGTGGGTGGGGAACACATAGACCTCACCTGGACAGGAGGGTTGAGGGGAGCGGCGCCAGGTCCCAGCCCGTCCCCAGGGTGCTCAGCCTTCGGCGATCTATGCAGGTCCGGCCAGTTGAACGCAGGCAGGGGAGAGAGGAAACCACCCTGACCCCACCAGGTGACTCCGGCTCCTGGGAGGAGAGAGACCACTGCACATGGCACCCCTCAATGCACGCCCAGGGGCTGAGGCGACTGGGCTGAGCCTTACTCACCAAGCAAGAGCAGCAGTGGAAGGAGCAGGATGAGAAACCTGCAGAGATGTCGGAGGCACCTGGGGATGTGGGGGGAGCCTGTAACTGGGAAGGCGGGCAGCAGGGCTCACCCCGACTCCTCCTGGTGACCCCAACACCCATCAGAGCCACAGCTGCTTGCACCTACAGTAGGCCTGTGGCAGAGACGCATGGGGACCAGTGAGTGAGTCACTGGGTAATACCTACTTCCTGTCTGGCGTGCCAGGCTCTCACACCAGCTTCCTGTTACTGTTCAACCTGGGGGCAGGAGTGAGGCTGAGATGGTCAGCCCACTCGTGTGGACAGTCCAGGGGGGCTTTTGGCACAGGGGTTAGCTGTCACCTCTGCGCTAGCATCCCATATGCACACAGGTGTGCTCCACTACCATCCATCTCCCTGTACTGCACCTGCAAAGACAGCAGGAGACAGCCCCATGTCTGGCCCTGAGCCGTGTGGGAGACCAAACGGAGGCTCCTGGCCCTCAGCTCCGGGCATCACGGTCATCCGGGGAGTAAGCTAACAGACGGAGGCTCCTGGCCCTCAGCTCTGGACAGCATGGTCAGCTGGAGAGCAAACTAACAGAGGATCCATCTGCAACTTCGCCTTTCAAATATTTTTGTTAACTTAATAAAAAAAAAGTGACCCCCAAAAAAGAAATCCTCCCAGGTGGCGTTAGCCAGCCACCGGCTGACAATCCGGGCTCTGGCCAGCCGGGCGCTCTGGCCAGCCGGGGGCTGACAATCCGGGCTCTGGTCAGCCGGGCGCTCTGGCCAGCCGGGGGCTGACAATCCGGGCTCTGGTCAGCCAGGCGCTCTGGCCAGCCGGGGGCTCTGGCCAGCCGGGGGCTGCGAGCGCCCATCCTGCGCTCCTGCACACCACCCCTTCTGTGTACATCCACTCTTTCTCTGTTTACACGATTTATTCATTTGAAAGTCAGAGTTACAGAGAGATCCGCCTGCCAGTTCATTCTGCATGTGCCCATAATGGCTGGAGCTGTGTCTGTTCCCCACGTGGACACAGGCTTCTCCCAGGCCGTAAGCAGAGGCTGGAAGTGCAGTCTGAGGCTCAGCCTATTCTGCACAGCACCAGCACACTTCTGCTTCTCTTACTAGTACCTGCTTTTTTTTTTTTTTTAATCTATTTTTTTTAAAAGATTTATTTTATTTTTATTGGAAAGGCGGATATACAGAGAGGAGAGACAGAGAGGAAGATCTTCCATCCGATGATTCACTCCCCAAGTGAGCGCAACGGCCGATACTATGCCGATCCGAAGCCAGGAGCCTCTTCCGGGTCTCCCACGTGGGTGCAGGGTCCCAAGGCTTTGGGCCGTCCTCGACTGCCTTCCCGGGCCACAGGCAGGGAGCTGGATGGGAAGTGGAGCTGCCAGGATTAGAACCGGCGCCCATATGGGATCCCGGGCGTGCAAGGCGAGGACCTTAACCACTGCGCCACCGCACCGGGCCCACTAGTACCTGCTTTTTAGCACCTTCTTATCCACCTCGGGAACAGCAGGGACAGGCACTGTGGCCTAGCGGCTAAAGTCCTCGCCTCACACATGCCAGAACCCCAAAAGGGCGCCGGTTTAATCCCAGTGGCCCCGCTTCCCATCTAGCTCCCTGCATGTGGCCTGGGAAAGCAGTTCAGCACGGCCCAAAGCCTTGGGATCCTGCACCCACATGGGAGACCCGGAGGAGGCTTCTGACTCCTGGCTTCAGATTGGTACAGCACCAGCTTCTGTGGCCACTTGGGGAGGGAATCATTGGACAGAAAATCTTTCTCTCTGTCTGTCCTTCTGTTTGTATATCTGACTTCCAACAAAAATTAAAATAAATCTTAAAACAAAAAAAGACTGGGAACATCAAAGTGCTTCACAACGCACGGGCATTACACAGGACTAGGTCAAGATGAGATCATGTAAAGCAACACGCACAGGCTGCACTGTGGCTCAGTGGGTTAAACTGCAGCCTGCAGCGTGTCCTAGTCAGGCTGGGAGACCCAGATGGAATCCAGGCTCCTGGCTTGTCTGCAGCCTAAGGCAGGGACCCAACAGAGGCAACACCCCTCTATCTCTTCTTCCCTCCCTCTCTCCTTATAACTCTTCAATAAACAAACTCTAAAACAAACAAAACAATAAGCCAGACAAGCGCCTGGTCCAACACCCCAGGACAGGGGATCAGGGTTCTTACCTTGTTAGAAGAAACACATTCAGCCATGAGACCAGAGTCACAAACTGATACCATCCAATCCCCAGCCACCAGAACATTCCAGATGCTGCTCTCCCTGCAAAGAGGAAATGTGCTTGAAGGAACCAAACTCCTCAGCCTACTGCTTCTGTGACAGCTCAGCTCACAAGCAGGCACTCTGTAAGCGTGTTAGGATGAGGAGAATTGGCACGTGTGCACACTCACACACACACAGTCACAGCAGGCACTCTGTAAGCGTGTTAGGATGAGGAGAATTGGCACGTGTGCACACTCTCACACACTCACACAGTCACAGCAGGCACTCTGTAAGCATGTTAGGATGAGGAATTCGTGTGCACACTCACACACTCACACACAGTCACAGCAGGCACTCTGTAAGCGTGTTAGGATGAGGAGAATTGGCACGTGTGCACACTCTCACACACTCACACAGTCACAGCAGGCACTCTGTAAGCGTGTTAGGATGAGGAGAATTGGCACGTGTGCACACTCACACACACACACAGTCACAGCAGGCACTCTGTAAGCGTGTTAGGATGAGGAGAATTGGCACGTGTGCACACTCTCACACACACACAGTCACAGCAGGCACTCTGTAAGCGTGTTAGGATGAGGAGAATTGGCACGTGTGCACACTCACACACTCACACACAGTCACAGCAGGCACTCTGTAAGCGTGTTAGGATGAGGAGAATTGGCACGTGTGCACACTCACACACTCACACACACACAGTCACAGCAGGCACTCTGTAAGCATGTTAGGATGAGAATTGGCACGTGTGCACACTCTCACACACTCACACAGTCACAGCAGGCACTCTGTAAGCGTGTTAGGATGAGGAGAATTGGCACGTGTGCACACTCTCACACACTCACACAGTCACAGCAGGCACTCTGTAAGCGTGTTAGGATGAGGAGTCCACAATGGCGGGAATTGGTGTGTACACACACACAGACCATGTATATATAGGGTCGAGGTGCAGGAGATGAACCCCCACTCTCAGTTACACAGAAGCAGCACGCACACGCACCCCAACCACAGTCGGCTGGCAGGAAAAGGACCCACCACCACAGAAAAGGGACATGGGTTTCATTTTCATGCAGTTCGAGACATCACGTACTGCAGGACTACACGGCACAAAGCTCTGGAAAGAAGCAAACGGAGGAATCTAAAATAACCACCTGGAGTCGCCGCAGCCAGCCAAAGAATGGACCACAGCGTCCTGGACACGTGGCACCCGGCAGCCCAGACCCTCCGCAGTGTCTGCACCAGGAAGTGACCTGCAGCATAGGAGATGTGCTGGCCTCAGACGTGAGACACGAGACACCTCCCCACCCCATGCCTCCACCAGCGCTTCTCACAGAGCGACTCCTTCACGCCTCAGGAAAGCCTGCTGGGCTCACCTCCCTGCGTGGGCAGCTGCTCCAGTGTGAGGCCGGCCTAAAGCCCACGGGGTGGGGGGGTGATAGCTACCAGAACGTACACTGGACAAGTCAGCATTCGAGGGCAGCCGGAGAGGCATGGACAGCAGTGTCCACACGCCAGCTCCAGAAGAGAACTGCTCTAACAAGGGATGCTCTCTGGTCGACAGGGCTCCAACAGTGCGCCCACCCCACTGGACGACACAACACAGTGAGCTCAGCAGCAACGTCACACATCGCTCAGCGGAAATGGCTCCATACACAAATCTGGACACATTTCTTCCAGTCACTGTAACATTTGTACATTGGCCCCAGAACCACTAAATAATCTTAATGAGGTTGTAAGGCAACGGCATACATAGACCAAGAGGATTTTAAAAAAATCATTCATTTATGTTATTAACACTTAAAATAGCTGAGCTTTTAAAGAACAGCTGCCAAAAAAGGGGTCCCTTTTACCAGAAAGTTACAGGGGTTAAGCAGGGTAACGTGGTGAGACAGGGCCTCATGCTGTGCACGCGGGCAGGGCCACTGGCCTCTGCTGCCCTCTGCACGTGTCCACACACTCAGTCACTACGCAAGCTGGCAAGGACGCGCTAAGACACAAGCTCGGTGTTTGAAACGACAGCCCGCACCCCGCCTGCTCTCAGCGGATTACTGCGAACACATGCCCAACAAGGAACGACACGGGGGAGGGAGCGACGGTGACAACCTGCACGGGCACCGAGGTGCCCCATGGTCCCTGCCAGCCTGTGTGGCCTGGAGGACTGCGAGTGGGTGGCTGTGTGTGTCTCAAGGTGCCGCTTCCTCTTACAGTCATCGCCTGCGGGTGTGGTGACAAGCAGTGAAGTCACAGATTAATACATAACAGTGCACAACATCTCAGTTCAAACACCAAGGCCAATGGCACACAGGGGTCAGAGCGGGGGGCGCTGATTCTCGGTCTCAGTGCTCGACACACCAGACAGGGACCCCCTTCACACACTCAGAGAAGCCATACTTACACATAGACTCGCCACGGCCCCCGAGGCGGCCATCGACTCTGAGACACTCTGTCACATTCACGCTCCCACAGCAACCGGCATGAGCTGCAACACACACGAGAGAGGCTTAGCGTGGTCCCCGCAGGCCATGCAGCCACCGGGACACAGCCCACTTCAAACACTGCCAAACCACATGGGTCCAGGCATCGTTCAAATAAATCAGTTTTGAGTTACAGAGGCCTAACAAGGAAAATGGAAAGTTGAGCATAATGAACTGACAGTTCACAGTGAAGCTGCAGCAGGGGCCAAATTCAGGAAGCGGAGCTGCAGAGAACACGCGGCCCTCCCCAAGCTCCCAGGACACGCAGGGGCAGGCAGGCAGCCCCGAGAGGCGGCAAGGCGACAGGAGCGAGAAGCACAGGGCTTTCGCCACCTTGGAAGCAGTATTCAGTGAAAAAAAGGAGGAAAGAAAATTAAAATACCTTTTGATTCATAGCTTTTTGACTTAAAGCTTTCTGATTCACCATCTTTTGATTCGTAACTTTTCAATTTGAAATTGTCAGATTCATAATTGAGCTTCAGTAAAACCACTTGGAAAAGCTGAACTAAGAGTGTTGACAGAGACGACATCGCACACGTGGCCAGCCCCAAGAGCCTGTCCGCATAGAGACACGCACCGCCTAGGGACACACGTGGGCACGCGTCATTCCTCCCCCGAGCCTGCGACCCTCCCTGGGGCTCACCTCAGGTGCAGCACCCAAGCAGCCCCAAAACAAGCACCCAGGACGCCTCAGAAGCAGCGGCGGTCCAGAGAGCCCAGGGTGCTGCCAGTGCAGCTTCCACCTACGCCACAGCTCAGCCACTGCTGGTGCCAGACCCCCACGCCAACCCTGAGACCCACAACCGCAGCATGGCCCACAGCACCCACCAAGTTTGGGACACCCGCCACCTGACACTGCTGCACCCACCCTCACTCCGTGGGCACATTCTCTGTGAACCTAAACACAGCCACGAGCACCCTTCCAGCAGCTGCCAGAAGTCCCCGTGCCTGAAGCGGAGCAGCCAGGGTCAGTCTCCCTGGGCTTCCCACCCTGCCCCAGCCAGAGAGCCGGTCAGCCTGGGACAGGCAGTGGGCAAAGCCCAGGTCCCGGGACCCGTGTGGGCAACACTGCAGAGTAAACTGTGTGCAGACTGCGACAAAACACAATGTCATGAAGAGGCAATGCAGCAGCTGGCCCAGGGAGCAGGTTAACCTGCTCCCTTCAGCACCGGCATCCAACACGCAGGCAGTTCAAGTCCCGGCTGCTGCACTTGGGAAAGCAACAGCAGATAATCCAAGTCCCTGGCTCCTGCACCTCCCCTCCCTACACACACCCTGGGAGACCTGGGTGACGTCCCTGGCTCCTGTACCTCCCCTCCCTACACACACCCTGGGAGACCTGGGTGACGTCCCTGGCCCCTGTCTGGGCCTGACCCAGCCCTACACACACATCCTAGGAGGAGACTGGGTGACGTCCCTGGCCCCTGTCCGGGCCTGACCCAGCCCTCTGGATCAAAGGTTTGGCTTTTGATTACCAGCCATTAGATCAAAGATTTTTCTCTTCCTTTCCCTGTTACTCTGCATTCCAATTAAATTAATAAATCTTGAACCACCACCATGCAGTGGTAACTCACGGCAGTCTGATGAGTAATTTCCTTTCTCACCACCAGGCTGGCAAGAATCAGAAAAAGCCACATTAAGATCTTCCAGAGGGTGGGCACGATGGCTGAATCCTCACCTTGTACGCACTGGGATCCCATATGAACCGCAGTTCATGTCCTGGCTGCTCCACTTCCCATCCGGCTCCCTGCCGGTGGCCTGGGAAAGCAGAGCAGGACGGCCCAAAGCCTTGGGATCCTGCACCCACATGGGAGACCTGGAAGAGGCTCTTGGCCCGTGGCTTTAGATTGGCTCAGTTCTGCCCAAGATAGCCAACTTGGGGAGTGAACCAGCGATGGAAGATCTTCCTCTCTTGTCTCTCCTCCTCTCTGTATATCTGACTTTGCAATAAAAATAAATCTTTTAAAAAAAAAGAAAAAGAAAGCGTTGGAGCTGGCGCCATGTTACAGCAGGTTAATCCTCTGCCCCTTGGCACCAGCATCCCATGTGGGCAACAGTTCGTATCCCATCTGCTCCACTTGCGATCCAGCTCTCTGCTTATGACCGGGGAAAGCAGTGGAGGACAGATCAAGTGCCTGAGGCCCCGGGCCTGACGTGGGCTTTGAACTGGCCTAGCTCTGGCTGTTGTGGCCACTGGGAAGAGAACCAACAGAGGAAAGACCTTCTCTCTGTCTTGCCTTCTCTGTAAAACCTGCCTTTCAAATAATAATGAATCTTAAAAGAAAAGAAAGGATTTGTGTGCACTAGCAGACAAACGTGCAAAGACCAGCTCTCGGGTGGACAAAGGAAGCCCCGGTGTTCATCCTGAAACCGCAAATGTAACCATGTAACCTGTCCCTCAAACACAGGTGCACAGGGCACCTGGCAGGGCCCCGCACCCCCTGGACACTCCCCATGCCGCCCAACACCAGCAGCTTCTTCAGTGTACTGGACAAGAAGATACAGACAAGCAGCATGTGACGGGCATGCCATTTTCTGCTCCAGCAAACCCGGCCACACACAGCCCGTGCACTCTAACCCCCAGCACACAGCAGGCCAGCAGCAGCAGCCCCTGCCTCCTCCTGCCTGCCATCACAGGAAGCCACACTCTATGGGGAGTGAGCTGGCACTGGTTCTCTACACAGCGGTGTGACAGCCATGAGGACTGGTTCTCCATACAGCAGGATGCCTCTTTCTGCTCACACACAGCTTACACCAGCCCAACACAACTTGGCCTCATGGACCACACTGGGCGCCGAGCCCCACGAGCCTGGGACACAGGGTAGCTTGTTATGGCAAGCAGCAAGAAATTGCACAGACCACCGCAGGTGCACCCTGAGCGCCTTCAGCAGTGGGCTCCTGAGGGACTCAGTGCTGCTGCTGCAGTCCAGCACATTAAGCTGTCACCTGCAAAGCCAGCATTTCATATGGGTGCCTGTTCCAGTTTAGGCTGCTCTACTTCCTGCTAATGACCTGGCAAAAGCAGTGGTACCCACATGGGAGACCCAGAAACCCCTGGCTCCAATGTGGCCCAGCCCCAGCCACTCTCGCCATTGGAGGGAGTGCAACAGGATGCCAAGACCACTCACTCTCTTGTTCTCTAATTCTGCCATTCAGATAAATAAAATGAATCTTTAAAGTGTTGGACCCACACTAACAGTGCAGGTCACCTAAGCGCCAGCAGGGGGCACCCGGCTCTGCAGCATCAAGGGTGCAAGGCCCACACCCACTACACCTGCTGGTTCACTTGCAACCAGCAAACGCTGCGTGGCTGTCTTGATCCCTCATCCCTCCTCTCCCCTCAGGAAGGACACCCCCATGGCATTCTGATCCTGCATCCCTCCTCTTCCCTCAGGAAGGACACCGCCATGGCGTTCTGATCCTGCATCCCTCCTCTTCCCTCAGGAAGGACACCGCCATGGCGTTCTGATCCCTCATCCCTCCTCTCCCCTCAGGAAGGACACCGCCATGGCGTTCTGATCCCTCATCCCTCCTCTCCCCTCATGGAGAACAGCCCCATGGCATTCTGATCCCTCATCCCTCCTCTCCCCTTACAACAGTACCATAGCAAGGCCCAGCAAGGTAGCCAGTGGCTAAAGTCCTCACCTTACACGCCCAGGATCCCATACAGGAGCCAGTTCTAATCCCAACCACCCTGCTTCCCATCCAGTTCCCTGCCTGTGGCCTAGGAAAGCAGTCAAGGAAGGTCCACCCTATACCCGTATGGGAGATCCAGAAGAAGCTCCTGGTTCCTGGCTTAAGACTGGCTCAGCTCCAGCTGTTGCAACCGCTTGGGGAGTGAATGATCGGACGTAAGATCTTCCTTTCTGTCTTTCCTCCCCTCTGTATATCTGCCTTTCCCATAAAGGTAAAAAAAAAATCTCTAAAATAAATAAATAAATAAAGACCTGAAAATAGAAAGCTAGGACTTGCTTCTTGGTCCTGGGTCACTCTCCACTGTTCCACCCCCCAGGCACACCAACCGTACTCCCCAGGCTATTAAGGGCCCAGCTCAGACTCCAGGCTGCTCCCCGAGACCAGTCAGAAGGGTGAGGGGTCTGTGGCCTCGGCTAGTACCCGCACAGCCTTCCCTTAGCCCCTCAGCGCCAACATCTGTAGTCAGGCTTTCAAGGCCACTGGGAGGGTCCCTGCAAGAGCTGACGACCCAGAAAAACTAGGGCCCCAAAGAGCCCCCCTAGATCCGAGGATCATCTGAAGTGCTCCCATCACTGCTCCCTGCTGAGCACCTTGGCACCCTCTGTAGTCCCGCCATGTAACCAGGAATGTGCAAGCATCCCCCACAGGCAGGGTGCTGCCACCAGTGCCCTCTGCAAGTGCCAGCACCTTGCCAGCACTGCCAAGCCACCCTGAGGGTAACCAGATCCCACACAGCTCTCAAGTGTCTGCACGGTTTTATGTACAAGAACGTTCTTTTGCTCCTTAATTAAACACAAGTTTATACAATTTCAAACATTGCTCAGCACAGAAACACTATGTAAGTGTGACATGGAAAGGAGACAATGGGACAAGGCTGTTTTCCCCTCGGCTGAGGACAGTGCACACTTACGCTTCTGCATCCTGTCACGGGAATAGACCCTGGAGGCCAGCGTGTGGGCCGTGGGCTGCGCGGTCAGGGTGTCCCTGCGCTCAGACAGCAGGCGGCAGCTGCTGCAGGTGTACCCGTTGTGCCCAGTGGCTTCGGCAGCCTCCACTGCCAGGGCTCCGTTTTCCTGAACAACGGCTTTGCCTGCACCTACGTTGTCAGAAAGTAGACCCAATCTTTATCACACTCGACAGCGTGCAGCTGGAACTTGTGAAATGTGTGAGGAAGAAAAGCCCAAGGCAATTACCTTTAGTGTCACCATCATCGTCGAGACCTGCGAGAGAAACCACAGTTCTGCTGCCAAGCTTGGTAACAGAGGCGGTACAGGCCGAGGGGGCCACGGTGTGCCCAGCTGCAGGCACACCCGAGGGTCATGCAGAGAGGACTGCCTCCTCACAGCCTGCCCGCTGTGGGCAGGGAAACAGTCTCACAGGCTGAGCAACAGAGCAGCCTGTAAAGTGACCAGGGCCTTCCGCCTGCCAAGGGCGGCCAGAGGCTTGCCTCCTCAGCCAGCTGGACCCTGTGCACAGCCCAGGGCATGGCCATGGCCTTGGGGCAGGGAGTGCACCCCTCCCTCGTGACTCAGGATAGAAAGGGTCTTCTGGAACACACAGCAGGACTGCATGCTGCCTCCAAGAAGGCATGCACCCAGCAGCAGCAGCGTCCCGTCCCAGCACTACACCATCCATACTCCACATGGGCACAGCTGGCCACGGCTGGCCAGGGCAGAAAGGAAGCAGCCTTCAAGTGCCTGTAGAGAAGCCTCAGGGCCCCTAGCACCCAGGCAGTAGCCACCCTCCTCCCCACACCAAGGCGCATGGGCCCTGCACACCACCCAGGCACTCACCCCAGAAGTGGGTCACCTCTGTCTGCTCACGGATCAAGGACTCATCCAGCACGCATGGCTGCAGGGCCGCAGCAGCCCGCACACTGCGAGAGCCGCCCTGGCTGCCTGCAGCTCTCCGGGACACGGGGCTCACACTGGGAGCAGCTTTGCCTGCACTTCTGCGCTGTCTTAGTGTTCTGCAAAGGAGAGAAGGAGCAAGGTCTCAGAATTCCCAGCACAGAGCTCTGAAAACACACACAGAATTTTAAGGCCAGCCATTTTCTAGTGCATTTCTGCTGCCATGAACCAATGCAAGAGTTTTATGCTGGGATTTAGAGACTCCTTCTAAAGCCACAAACACAAAATAACGCAGGCTTCTGCTGATTCTGAGCAAAGACATACAACAGACCACAAGTAAAAATGACCAAAACAAAAGGCTTGCATCCATATATGGACGTGCCCACAACTCACTTCTGCCCCCGGCGAAGCCATGCAGCCAGACATGTGGCGCGAGTGGAGACCTAGGGTCCTGTCTGCACAACAGCCCAAACAAGCCTGGGCAGGAGTGCAGGGGTAACACCGGGGCCCACACCAGTTCAAAACCTGGCTACCCCTTTTCTGATCCAGCTCCCTGGTAATGACCTGGGAAAGCAGTGGAATACAGCCCATGTGCCTGGGACCCTGCACCTACATGACAGACCCAGAGGAAGTTCACGCCTTCCAACAGGCCCAGTCCCAGCCAATGCAGCCATAGGGGAATGGAAGGAATCTCTCTCCTGACTTCTCTTTAACTCTGCCCTTCAAATAAGACCAAAAAAAAAAAAAAAAAGCATTTTATAATTCAGCAAACTGAGCATCAAGTTAGGGAGTAGAAAAACAGACTCAGCCCCTGCTCGAGCATCTGGGAGTGGCAAGGGGTGCAGTGACACACATGGCAGGGCCAGGTCACCAGGCAGTGCTGGCCCTGGGCTTCTGCGGGGCAGGAAGAGCCCTGACAGCCCAGGAATGTCATCCTACTCGTCAAAAATCTATTTGTGTTGGAAAGGCAGATTAACAGAGAAAAAGGGCCCAGTGCAATGGTGTAGTGGTTAAGGTCCTCGCCTTGCACGCCCAGGATCCCATATGGGTGCAGCTTCTAATCCCAGCAGCCCCGCTTCCCTTCCAGCTCCCTGCCTGTGGCCCGGGAAAGCAGTCGAGGACAGCCCAAAGCTTTGGGACCCTGCACCCGCGTGGGAGGCACAGAAGAGGCTCCTGGCTTGGATCGGCATAGCATCGGCCATTGCGCTCACTTGGGGAGTGAATCATTGGACGGAAGATCTTCCTCTCTGTCTCTCCTCTCTGTATATCCGCCTTTCCAATACAAATAAAATAAATCTTTAAAAAAAAAAAAAACACAGAGAAAAGGACAAAGATCTTCCATTTCCTGGAACACTCCCCACAGGGCCACAAAAGCCCATTTGAAGCCAGGAGCCCCCTCTTGTCTCCCATGTGAGTGAAGGGGCCCAAGGACTTGGGCCATCCTCTGCTTCTTTCTTACGCTGTAACTATGAAGCTGGATTGGAAATCGGCAGCCAGGACTTGAACAAACACTGCAGGCAGAGAATTAGCCTGGTTTGCCACTGCAGCACCCCCAGAAACATTTTCAAATGTTAAACTACCTCAATTTTTTTTTAAAGATTTATTTATTTTTTTTTTTATTGGAAAGGCGGATATACAGAGAGGAGAGACAGAGAGGAAGATCTTCCGTCCGATGATTCACTCCCCAAGTGAGCGCAACGGCCGATACTATGCCGATCCGAAGCCAGGAGCCTCTTCCGGGTCTCCCACGCGGGTGCAGGGTCCCAAAGCTTTGGGCCGTCCTCGACTGCCTTCCCGGGCCACAGGCAGGGAGCTGGAAGGGAAGCGGGGCTGCTGGGATAGAACCGGCGCCCATATGGGATCCCGGGCATGCAAGGCGAGAACCTTAACCACTTGCGCCACCGCGCCGGGCCCAAAACTACCTCAATTTTTGCTGCTTCTTGATACAGATGGCCAAGCCATCGAAAGATCTCACCCACCACACTGGTAACCATGTGAGCCTTCGGTGCAGGTGTGTGCGGCCTGTGACTGTGGGTGGACCTGTATGTGTGACTGACCGTGTGTGGGTGGACCTGTATGTGTGACTGTGGGTGGACCTGTATGTGTGGACTGTGGGTGGACCTGTATGTGGGTGGACCTGTATGTGTGACTGGGTGGACCTGTATGTGTGACTGTGGGTGGACCTGTATGTGTGTGTGGACCTGTGTGACTGTGGGTGGACCTGTGTCACTGCAGGTGGACCTGCGTGAGTGCACACAGTCTGGAATTCATGGTTTTACATCAGTTTCGCCATAGGAAGGCAGAGCTGGGCAGGGCTTACCTTGGTACTCCATCCTGGGAGGGGTGCGTATCTCCTGCCTTACTGTCCCCTGTGGAGTAGCTCGTCCTGACCAGGCGCAAACTACGGCGGGACATCCTAGGGGAATCAAACACGGGATCCAACCGGTGCTGTGTTTCGAAGTCCAGAGCATCAGAAGAATAGCTCGAGCTGTAAGGACACAGCTGTCAGAGGGCAGCAGCGCTCCTGGCTCCCCACATCCCCACGTCCAGCTTGCAGGGAAGCCACTGCTGTGGACAATATCTGGAAGGAGGCGAGTGACCCTGTCCTGCCTGCCCCACTACACCTGCTCCAGCTGTCCCTGTCCCCCACTCAGAACTGCTTCAGGACATGAAGTCCATGAAGACCCCCAGGAACGTTAGGCAGGAGCTGGAAGGGGAGAGAGATGTCCATTGACCAGGTCACTACCCAGAGGGTCATAGCAGCCAGTGTGCCACAGGGTGACCCAAGCCCTCCCTCCCAGGGAGTCATCAACAGGGGCAGAGATGGGCACTGATATGAGATGTGGGCACCATAGGCGGCACCTGTGGCACAGTGCCAGCCCTACACAGGTACTGCTCTTGGCTCATCTTTGTGCCATTCCAGTCTAGGCACTGCCCTTGAGAGCAGCTGCTACAGCAAAAGATGGCCGCGGTCAGAGAGGGCCACCACGCCCTGCTAAGTGACACACTCGGGGCCCTCCTCTTCCTGCTCACCTATGAAGCCTTCAGCCATGCAGAAGCACAGAGCCTCACCACGAGGCTCCGAGGCCCACGCTGCCTCACTGCCCTAGCTGGCCAGGCTCACCCTCCCCTCCAGCTCTCGGTAGGGGGTCCCAAAGCCAAACCTGTGCTGGATCCAGCCTCCCTGCCTGCCAGCCATCTGCCCTCCACCTGGGGACACCTGGTTCTGCCTCAGGGCCTGTTCCAGTATTCCAGGGCCCAGTCTGGCTGCAGCTCCAGGCCATGTGCTGACTCAGTCCTTCTGGAGGACCCAACGCTCCAGGCCGTGCCCCTGGCGGGAAGGCGGCACACTCACTCCTTCCTCCTGGAAGGCCCCACCCCTCTGTCCAGCACAATCTTCTGAACCAAGCTCCACAGCCACACCTCTGGCTCCCACCGCCCTAAAACAGTCCAGACTCCAAGACAGCCAGCATAACCCCAGCCGGGGGCCTCTGCCCTGCCCTCTCCCAGGTCTCACTGGCCTGCCCTGGGCCAGCTGGAAGTGTTGCTAAGGCAGCCTCGGCAGGCTGGAGGATGAGAACATGACTGCGGGGCCAGAACTGCTCCAGCCTTCTGAAGCAACCAGGGGCCTGAGAACCACACTGCTTCTACAGCAAGGGCAACACAGCGTCACTTCAAAGACCGTCCAGGCCAGACAGCACAGGTGCTGTGAAGAGGCACTTTGCTAACCAGCAGAGCCAAGATAATCTGTCGCCATTACTCCGCCTTATATTCCCTTAGAATTCATCCTATCCTCCTGAGCTTGCATTCCCACCCCACCTGCTAGAGCCCCGCCCCCTCAGCCACACCACACCTGCTAGTGCCCCGCCCCCTCAGCCACACCACACCTGCTAGAGCCCCACCCCCTCAGCTACACAACACCTGCTAGAGCCCCGCCCCCTCAGCCACACCACACCTGCTGCTCAGCCCCGCCCCCTCAGCCACACCACACCTGCTAGAGCCCCGCCCCCTCAGCCACACCACACCTGCTAGAGCCCCGCCCCCTCAGCCACACCACACCTGCTAGAGCCCCGCCCCCTCAGCCACACCACACCTGCTAGAGCCCCGTCCCCTCAGCCACACACCCAGGAACCTTCAACACCTCTCTGGCCTAGCTACCAAACTCCAGCCAATGAAGTGATACCAACCCAGAAGTTACCTAACTCCTGTTCCTGGGTTTTAAAAAAGACCCTTAGACTTACTTGTTCCTTTTAAAGCGTAACACAGACTGCCTACTCAGTGACTCACAACAGTGGGATCTGGACCAGGCCCGAGGCAGAACAGCGGGAAGCCACCACCACCGGCCTCTGACACATGCTGGGTCACCGGCAGAGGCAGCAGGCCCTGGCACCTCACTATGGCCATGGCTCTGTGTCCCAGGCAGCTCAACTACAGGCCAGCAGGGCAGGTCAGCAATTACTAGGACTCAAACCTTACAGGCTGAACGCAACCAGGTCCTGGGCAGCTGAGGGCACTGGGAGCCCCACCAGCACGCTGCCGCAGGAGACCGCTGGACACAGAACTGTGGGAGCCCCACCAGCACGCTGCCGCAGGAGACCGCTGGACACAGAACTGTGGGAGCCCCACCAGCACGCTGCCGCAGGAGGCCGCTGGACACAGAACTCTCCAGGCTGTGAGATACCGATCAGCACACTCCTGTAGGCGATCCCACGCCTGGGAGGGCTCTGAGACTGTCTTGATGACTCACCGAATTACAGGGAAAACCCGGGGAAGCACAGAGCTTTCCCAATGCCCCTCAACTCCTCGTGAGTCCTAGAGCCGCGGCCCCCCGACTCACCTGAGCGCGTAGGTGTAGCCCGTGTTGTCCGGCACACACTGCGGAGGGCTGTAGAGGTGCAGCCGGGAGAAGTCCATGTCTCGCCTCAGCTCATGCTGCAGGTGGAGAGGGAACAGGCCTTCAGGGACCTCAGTAGCACGCTTATCACCAGGACCATAAACAGGCAGAGCGGCACCTGCCGAGGATGCGGAAGCCGGCCTGGAACCCTTCCCAGGAGTGCTACGTGCAGGAGTCCCTCAAGGAGGCGCTGACTGATGGCCAGAACAGGACCCGGCCCAGGAGCCACCCTCTGCTCCCTCCCCAGGGACGCAGATCAGCTCCAACACCAAAGTGCCGGCCTTGTTTCTCTGGTTATCATCGAGACGTCTGTGGACCTGGAATGATTCGTTAAGAATATTCACGCACACACCCCAAATTAAAGGAACAAAGTCCTCACAGTAGTAATATGCATCATAACCTGTTGTTCAAACTCTACGAGATAAGACTAAAAATAAAGAGCGCCTTGGGCAACAGTATTTATGGACACAAAACTGGGCTCTGTTGCAAACCACAAAGCCCGAGTCCCATCACCTGGAAACAGGCCAAACACCTACTGAAGTCAAGGACTGACTACAGATCACATAGGAAACTTGACTGCTCCACACACTCCACAAAGCCCCTGGGTTTGGGATAACATTCTACAACACTCTCGGTCTGTCCTGAGTCCCTGGTGCTCCAGTCAGCCAGAGCTCATTCACCAGGCATAAGCTGCCACTTTGCAAACAAAATCAGCTACGGCTGTTTAACCCACGTAATGTTTAACCCCTCTGTAACTGCCCTGACCTGTCCCATCTGCTCAACTCAACCCTTAAATCTGGACTGGGACACCCAAGGCCCAATGGCGTGCTTGCCAACACACTCGAACGTCTCCAGCTCCGAGTCCAGCCGGCTCACACTGCCACTATGGGACGTCTCCAGCTCCGAGTCAGGCCAGCTCACACTGCCACTATGGAATGCAGTCGTACTGTGGCTGTGTCATAATGCCTGCTGGCCACACTCCAGTTTAGGAAGCACTCCCAGGCATGTGGATGCCAGGCTGAACGCCACCGCTAACGCCCGTGACCCTCTCATCTCACACGCTTTGCTCCAAAGGTATCCTCCCTCCCTGGGTCAGTACACCCTGGCACTGCTAACACACTCGGGGAGCGAGTGCAGCTCACAGGAGCTGTGTGCACTGCTAGCACACTCAGAGTCCAGGACCAAGTGCAGCCGAGAAAGGCCATCCCCGGCCCCACCTTCAGGTGCGGGGCCATCTGGGGAGTGATCCAGCAGGCACCACTTCTCTTGATCTCTAACTCGGTTCTCCCAATACGCACACACACCTTTTTTTAAGAAGATGTTTGTTTCTACTTGAAAGGCAGATTGAGAGAGGAAACAGTCTGCCATCTGCTGGTTCACTACCCAAGTGGCCCCAGTGGCCGGAGCTGAGCTGATTTGAATCTGGTGCCAGGAGCTTCTTCCGGCTTTCCCAAGTGGGTGCAGGGTCCCAAGGTATGGGCTGTCCTAGACTGCTTTCCCAGGCTACTGGCAGGGAGCTGGATGGGAAGCGGGGCAGCCGGCACCAACCTATGCCTCCATGGAATGCCAGTGCTTGTAGGGTGAATGCCTGTGGAGACAGTGTTGACCTCCAAATACATCTCCTTTTTTTGTTAAAATAAAATTAGGTGTTAGGGTGGGCACTTGGCCTGGCAGCTAAACTGCTGAGGGTCCTGCAGCCCACATCCAGGTGTCTGAGTGCGAGTCCTGGGTCTGTTCCCAACTCCAGGTCCTGCCAAGGTGCACCCTGGGAGGCCCCGAGGAACAGGAGCGTCCCCAGATGCAGTTTCAGCCCCAGGTCCTGCAGGCCCTTGGGAAGACAGCCAGTGCTGAAGTTCTTTATGCTGTCTCTTTCAAATCAAGGAAAATGAGCAAAGCTTCAAAAGAGTCTATGGAAATCAAGGGTCCTGTGTCCTCGGGTCCTTTCTCCCCCTCCTCCCTGTAGACTCAGTAGACCAGAACAGGTGTGCACCTCAGCCTGGGTCCTGCGAAGTCCAGCCCCGTACCCGCTGCAGCCTTGGCAAGGCTCTGAGCTCCCAGGCGAAGCAGGAAGGAGCACCGAATCCCTTCCAGATGCGGTAGACTGCAAGTAGACTCTTCATACTCCACATGTAACATGCATCTTATATAAATTTTAAAACCAAAATATGGACCCAGTCTGATGGGCTACTGTCTAAATCCTTGCCTTGCAAGCGCCAGTACTCCACATGGGCACTAGTTCATGTCCCAGCTGGCCCACTTCCCATCCAGTTCCCTGCCTGTAGCCTGGGAAAGCAGTTGAGGATGGCCCAAAGCCTTGGGACCCTGCACCCACGTGGGAGACCCAGAAGGATCAGCTCAGCTCCAGCTGTTGTGCTCACCTGGGGAGTGAACCACCAGATGGGAGATCTCTGCCTTTCCTCCTCTCTATAAGCCTGATCCGCCTTTAACCAACATCAAGCTGGCAAAGGGCGGCTGTGCTGTGGGATGTGTACCTGCCCTGGGCATCCCTCACACACTGGGGCCTCCATCCGCCTCTTAGTCTGTGGCCTACATCCCAAACCAGAATCCACAACCTGCAGCAATGGAGGTGTTCCTGCCCACTAAATAAAACCCACAACTCCAGTCTGACCACTGAGTGCGATGTCAGATAGGACTCACGCTGTAAATGCATAACAAGGTAGGCCAGCGGCTGCCTCATAAAGCAGCCAGCTCAGCTGTCATTACCCAGCACCTTCTACATGCGTGGGCCCACTGAAGTGTAGGCAGACCCAGCAGGTTCCTCAATTCTAAAACAAAGGGGCTGAGAACTCAAACAGCCGTGACAGAGCAAGACGAGGAAGAAAGCAAACGCGTTCTCAATCACCGAAGCACAAGACCCTCCAAGGCCCCGCTGTGTGGCGGCGTGCCCCTGCCTGCCAGCCCTGACGTACACTGCCGTCCTGAATGCCCCTTGCCAAGCAGCGCTGAGGCCAAGGCTACAGCTGCAAGGCTGCAGGGACTGCCTCGGCATTCAGTGCCACAGAAGTCTCACCGACTGGAAATAGCACAGAGCACCCCAGAGACCCTCTGATCCCCCAAGCTCAGGGCCAGGGACTCCCAGTGGACATGCCGTGCTCAACAAAGTGCCATACACTTCTGAAAAAGGGTCTCCCTGCAAAAGCATAGATATCTATGAGAAAGGCAGAGTAGAACAGGACAACGGAGGACGGGGCCCCTACAGGGCCAAGCAGGAGCAGAAGCGCAGCGCCCCAGCACACAAGCTAACACTGCACACTGCTGCAGGCCCAGGCAGGCAAAGCTGCACAAGTACCTCAGCTGGCCAGAGGGCACCACACTCAACTCTCAGGAAAAACACCCAATGGACCGGGGCTGTGGCACAGCATTTTAAGCCTCCATTGTGGCTAACCTGTCCCATATGGCACCGGTTTGAGTCCAGGCTGTTCCAACCTCGTCAAGCTCCTTGCTTATGGCCTGGGAAAGCAGCAGAGGGTGGCCCAGGTGTCTGGGCTCCTGTGCCCATGTGAGACACCTGGGGGAGGGAAGAAAAGCCCTCAACACACCAGAGCCTGGAGGGAGAGGCTACAGACGGGAAAGCGAGGCTGTGCACAGCACTGCCCCCCCATCCGTGAGGAGACAGGGCTGGCCAGGCGCTAGTGGCACCCACAGGAAAGGGCGTGGGGTGGAGTTGGCTCCTCTTCCCACCGTACACAGCCCAGGAGCTAACAGGTCCCTGTGGGAGATGTGGAGCTCCTGGCCCAGAGCTGGCTGTTGCAGGCAGGTGGGCAGTACAACGGTGAATGGGAGAGCTCTCCATCTGCCTTCCACATAAACAAACAACAAATAATATGCTTTTACGAAAAGGTAACAGCCTTTCCTAGGGCTAGAGATAGGCAAGGTTCCACTTTGGCCATTGCTTCCAACACTATCCCGGAAGTCAATAGAAAGCTGAGACAGACACACATCAGGAAGGGATCTCAGATGCGTCAGTCCCTGTGAGGGGAGCTCGGACCCTCAGTCAGGAACACCTGAGCCCCGTGATGGGGGGCTAGAACCCTCAGGAACACGTCAGCCCCGTGATGGGGAGCTAGGACCCTCAGTCAGGAACACCTGAGTCCCATGATGGGGAGCTAGAACCCTCAGGAACACATCAGCCCCCGTGATGGGGAGCTAGGACCCTCAGTCAGGAACATGTCAGCCCCCGTGAGGGGAGCTAGGACCCTCAGTCAGGAACACGTCAGCCCACATGAGGGGAAACTGAGACCCTCAGTCAGGAACATCTTAGCCCTGTGATGGGGAGCTAGGACCCTCAGTCAGGAACACCTGAGCCCCGTGATGGGAGGCTAGACCCCTCAGGACCACACGTCAGCCCCCGTGATGGGGAGCTAGGACCCTCAGTCAGGAACATGTCAGCCCCCGTGAGGGGAGCTAGGACCCTCAGTCAGGAACACGTTAGCCCACATGAGGGGAAACTGAGACCCTCAGTCAGGAACACCTTAGCCCTGTGATGGGGAGCTAGGACCCTCAGTCAGGAACACCTGAGTCCCATGATGGGGAGCTAGAACCCTCAGGAACACGTCAGCCCACATGAGGGGAAACTGAGACCCTCAGTCAGGAACACCTGAGCCCCGTGATGGGGAGCTAGGACCCTCAGTCAGGAACACGTCAGCCCAAATGAGGGGAAACTGAGACCCTCAGTCAGGAACATCTCAGCCCTGTGATGGGGAGCTAGGACCCTCAGTCAGGAACACCTGAGCCCCGTGATGGGGAGCTAGGACGCTCCCAGGAGCACACACAGTTGAGCTGCCCCAGTGGCCTGCCGCCTGCAGGGAAGCAGCCCCAGGGAAACAGCAGTCACCCTCTGCCGTCAGCAGGGACACCCTAACACCAGACACAGCAGGAGTTCAAGCCAGATCAAAGCCCTAAATGTAGGAATTAAAAACATCAAACTTGGAAAAGTTCAGATGGGTAAACTCTTCAGAGCCTGGATTTGTCCAAGGTAAGGCAGGAGGACACTGCAACACCTGCTGTCACCTGTGCCTCAGGGGATGTGACCCTGAGCCGGGCAGACTGCCAGCACCTGCAGCTCACCTGGCTGATAAGGTCCAGGTGCGTCTGAGAGAGCTGCCTGCAGGGCTCCCGCAGGCAACCAAAGGGCAAGCCCGAGGTCACCCCAACACTCACTCCCCACTTGCCGGGACCCAGGGTGTCTGGAGCCCCAACTCATCACCGACAGGGTAGCCCGCTGCACCCCAAACCCACCTCAGGCAGGAGAGCCCACTGCACCCCAAGCCCACCCCGGGCAAGGGAGCCCGCTGCACCCCAAGCCCACCAAAGCAGGGGAGCCCGCTGAACCCCAAGCTCACCACGGCAAGGGAGCCCACAGCACCCCGAGACCACCCCAGGCAGGGGAGCCCGCTGCACCCGAAGCCCAGCTCGGACAGGGGAGCCCGCTGCACCCCGAGCTCTTCCAGGGCAGGGGAGCCCGCAGCACCCCGAGCCCACCCCGGGCAGGGGAGCCTACTGCAGCACCGCCCGGAGAGCACCAGCCCGGAGGAGCCCAGAAGGCCGAGGCCGAGCGGACACCACGGAGTGTCCAGCGCCCCCGCGTCCTCCCGGAGCGTCCGGCATCCCAGCTCCGGCGCGGCCGGCCAGGGCCGAGGCCCGGGAGCCCCTCATGGCGGCCGCGGCCGTTGGCGTCCTGGGGGTGCCCGCCCGCCGCCCGGCCCCGCCGCCCCCGGAGGAGCGCGGCCCGCACTCGCCCGCCAGCCACCCCGGCGCCCCTCGGCGCCCGCCGCTGCTCGGCTGGCCGCCCCGGGCCCGGCGCCCCGTCCCAGCTCACCTGCCGCCGCCGCCGCAGGCCTCGCCGCGCCGCCCAGGCCCGGCCGGAGAGGACGCCCCGAAGGCGCCGGCCAATCGGACGCCGCGCCCGCCCTGGGGGGCGGGAACCCCGCGTCTGTCCACCAATCCCTAACGGGCTCTCGGAGCGCCTTGGCCAATGACGAAGCGGCTCCCGGCCGCAGGCTGAGTGAGGCGCGGGGAGCGGGAGGAGCCCGGATGTCGTCACTGGGCGGGCCGCAAGCGGCGTGGGGGTAGCGGGGAGCTCAGGCCTGACAGAGGCGGGCACCCCGCGCCCCGGGCCTGAGCGAGGGGACCCCGGGCCTGAGCGAGGGGGACCCCGGGCCTGAGCGAGGGGGACTCTGGACCGGGGCATGAGGGGGGGACCCCGGACCGGGGCATGAAGGAGGGGGACCCCGGACCTGAGCGAGGGGGACCCCGCGACCCTGTCATGAGGGAGGGGGACCCCCGACCCGGGCATGAAGGAGGGGGACCCCCACCCGGGGGTGACCAGGCCGCCTCTTCTGGCAGTGACCCCGCACCCCGGCCCTGCTTCCCCGCGGGTCCTCCGGAGCAGCTTTGCTCCCAGGAGCCCGGGCTGCCATCCGCACTGCACGGCCTTGTCCCGCACCCCATGGGGCCTCCGCTGCCATGGCACTGCCCCTCGGCCGAGCCCCTTTCTTATCTGCCCCTCACAAACGTCCCTCCTTTGCATTTTTACAAGTAGACCTTTCGCTTGTGAAAACCGGGATTGTACCTGTTGTCCATACAGGCCGAGCTGATTAGGGGTGCCCATGCCTGGCCTCCCTGTGGGCACTGCGAGGCCTCAGCCCAAGAGACTGCCCGGTGGCCCCTCTGCCCAGCGCCCTGACATGCCCCGCAAGTGTCAGAGGCCTTGGCTGCTGCACCCAGGCAGGCCCTGGGGGCATTAGGCGACAGGTGCGGGGTGCCCTCTGCTTTCATCCTCCCCGTGCCAAGGCAGCCAGGCGGTTGTAAACAAGGACTCCTGTGGGATTTAGGGCGTGGCTCTGCAGCTCCGTGCCATCTGGGGGAAGCTGTGAAGGCGAAGGCAGGGAAGGCAGGGCTGCTGAGGGCCCTGCTCCGGGTGGGAGGGCTGTGTCCCGCCCATCTGCCCAGCAGGGTGGGAGCCACAGGGCACCCAGCTCTGGCTCCAGGCCATCCCTGCGGCCTCTGTCTCCTTTGTAAATAGGACGCGTGAGGTGGCATTCCAGCACCCGCCACCCCTGCGGGTGATCTGTCTGCAGATCTCACCTTGACTGTCCCAGGCACCCTGGAGGCCCCACTGGACCTGGACATGTCCTGGGTTTTGTATGTTGTTTCCTTTTTTAAACTAATGATTACATGGTTGATCAGGGTGGGAAGGATGAAGGTTTAGGGAAAATTGGGTGAATTCATTGCTGTTTCTTGTTCCTGGGATAAGGAGAGAAACAAAGGGGGAGACCACTCACAACCTTCCACACGTCCCAGTACCCAGAGACGAGGAACTGCCACCTCACGTCAACCCAGAGGCCCCATGTGGGCATATTCCGAGGGTTCTGTCCAGGTGGTTTGGATAGTTCTGAAATGCCGATTCCTCCGATCCGAGAATGATGGCACCCTCCCAAATACTCATTGCCTTCATTCACTGGAATTTGTTGCTGTCACCTATTGCAGTTTAACACACTTGCTGACTGATCACCTGGGCCCCCCCCCCCAAACCTCTTGGCTCTCGCCCTACATCCCCCTCCCGCCTGCTGCTGACCACCGAGCTGGGGACATGTGTCCCCACAACGACACTGCCACTCCTTCCTTCTTGGGAGCTCCACACCAGGCTGCCTGCGTTCCCCCACCCCGGCCCTGCCTCCCTGAAAGAGGGACTCGGAGACCACCGGCTCCCCTGTCCCCCTTGCCGGAGGCCACCTGCCTGCCAGCACGCCTGCCAGCAGAGCTGTGGCGCGTCCCTGGAAGCAGATCTGCAAATCCAGTCCATCCCGCCTGCAGCTGCCCTGACCCTGGCAGGAGCTGCCCTCCGTCTCATGTGAACCCTTGGCTTTCAGCCCTCTCAGCAGGTGCCTGGATGGTCAGACACAGCCGTCAGGACTCCTGGGGCACGTGGAGGAGCCCCATCACACCTCATTTATACGTTAGTAAAGCTTTACTTAACTAGTAAAAGATGTGTTTATGCATTTGAAAGACAGAATTACAGAGAGGGAGAAATAGAAAGATCTTCCATCTGCTGGTTCACTCCCTAAATGGCTACAATGGCTGGAGCTGAGCCGGTCCAAAGCCAGAAGCCAGGAGCTTCTTCCGGGCCTCCCGCATATGTGCAGGGGTCCAAGCATCTGAGCCATCCCCCACTGTCTTCCCTGGCACATGAGCAGGGAGCTGGATGGGAAGTGAAGCAGCCGGGATTGAACCAGCTAGTTCAGGTGGCAGCTAGTTGGCTGTGCCACGGCTCTGGGACCCTGGGCTTTATTTATGCACTTGAAAGAGTGATGTGAGGAGATACAGAAGACAGACCTTGTCCATCCTCTGGCTCACTCCCCAGATGGCCCCAACAACCGGGTCTGGGCCAGGCCACAGCCAGGAGCCAGCT